ATCGATCTTCTGCGCATGCGCAGTTGGTTTCGTACCACTTTAGTACATCTGCGCATGCGCAGAAGATAGTGCTTTACTCCCTAATAGGGAGATGTGCCTCCTCGAACGTTAAAGCATTGTCGATCTTTTGCGCATGCGCAGATACACTAAAATGGTGCGAAACTGCGCATGCGCAGAAGATAGTGCTTTACTCCCTAATAGGGAGATTTGCCTCCTCGAACGTTAAAGCACTGTCGATCTTCTGCGCATGCGCAGATACACTAAAATGGTGCGAAACTAACTGCGCATGCGCAGAAGATATTGTGCTTTACTCCCTAATAGGGAGTTGTGCCTCCTCGAACGTTAAAGCACTGTCGATCTTGTGCGCAAGCGCAGTTTGCACCATTTTAGTGCATCCACGCATGCGCAGAAGATAGATACTGCTGCTATGACGTGCACAAACTCTTTAGCACGGCATAACGTTCAGCATTCGACTGCGAACTCTATCTGCGCACATGAGCTGGTGTGCGAAAGTAATGCGAAACTAGAACGGCGCATACTCAGAAGAGAGATATTGTTGTGATTTGCTGTAATGCTCCTTCGTTCTAAAACTCCCAATCGGTGACAATATCGGCAGTGGCAATATCGAAAACGTATCAACGGTTACACTCATATTAACTGGATCAATGAAATACATCTAAATTAGTTTCGAATAAAATGTGTAAAATCTAAACTACTGTATGAAAGATAATGAGTTGTGTGTTCCACACACTTTTGAGCCACTTCCATGTGTTTTTTGTTGTTTTTTAAATTATTTTTTAACGGTCGGAAATGCAGGATGGGAAATTCAAAAATCTGAAAGCTGTTGTCAACGAAGTTTAGTTAAATGCAATCCGAGGTGCATCTCAATGGTACTGGCAGCAAACTACGCGTGGGCAGCCGTAGGTACGGGGAGGAGGTAAATAAATATCCGAGCAACTCTGGGGAAGTGTCCTGGCTGTGTACGAAGGCAAAATACAGTAAAACAAAATATTTAGATTCTTGAGAATAGTATTTCATTTTAAATCATGTTAAGATACCATTCAATATCAAGGTAACGACACGTAATATTCTTATTTATGTACTAAAATATTCGTAACAGCTTTACAACACATGTCGCCGAATAAATGGTTATAGGATGTATTACAAATGCGTTAAAACAAATTCAAGCTCGGTTTGTTGTTCATAAGAATGTTATCGGAATACATTGGCACGGTAGCGGACTATGCCTAGTGTTATTGAGCATAACTTTGACTTGGCTCTGCCGCTATGGTAAAATAGTCAACCTCGCGTGTACTAGATAAGAGGCGATGCTGCGATTTCTCTATTGTTTTAGTTTCTTTTGGCGAGTTTCTGTCGCACTGAATTCGTGCGAATGTTACGCGATGTGCGCTTTCGCGTGGACTACAATGTGGAGCACCTCGGAAGAAATATTGTTGTTCAGTTTTTAGACTAAACGTTTTCCTCGTAAGTGAAAGGCTTTGTGATATGATACTCAGAATTTTGAAATACGTAGATATTTATCTATATTATTAACTTCCAATGCGCGCAAAAAATTATAGAAAACTGCACGCCCACCTGCCATTTTGAGAGTTAGTTTATGGTTTCGTTATATAAACAGGAACTATGAAAATACAAAATGCAATGAAAGTTTCCATTTTTTACAGAAAAAATCAAATATAAAATTCTGTGTGTTCTCATACTGCGCATACCAACTGAATTGTCAATCAGTGCGTCATTGCTTACGTCGCAGCCAACATCTTCCAACAGCTGTTCTCCAAGGAGCAAGCCGCCCACCATTAAATATTTGCTATGTACGTGTTGCATTATAGTAACTCTGCAACGTGCAAATCTCTTATTAAACTTGATATATTAAGAAATGTTTTAGTGTGCATTCGTTTATTATACAAGATGCTTGTAGTATTGTTAGAGATAATTTTATTTATGGTCTTGGGCAGTGCATTTTTGCTACTGCATGTTCGTAATTCATTCAATTGTGATAAAATTAACTAAGATTTCTATTAAAGAGGAATATAACTATTGGAATATTGCAAAATACCTTCAGTATTCGGTAACTGAGTATCGCAATTAAAATGCGCACTAATGGATTTTTGACTGTGTATGAATGAAAATGTTAGTTGTGCCTGGTGGACGATTTTTGGTGATTTAATGGGAAGGAACACGTGTCTGGATGAGACTGATTAAATAAAGGGAATGTTCTATGTAATTCTAATAGCTGTCTCATGGTCTCTTTAAAATGTTGAAATTTTGCTACTATGAGGTGATACATTATGAGAATTGTATATACCAGTATTCATTGTAAATATTATTTTAAGGAAAAAAAATACTAGATAGACGTCTTTTTCTGGGACTTGGAAATTGGCTTTTGAAGTTTTAATCTTGAAATGCTACAATGCACACAGGAATTACCACCTCCCCCCCCCTCCCCCGCCAAATAAAAGAATTGGTTCAGTGTCGCAAGACCTTCGCTTTCATCTCGGCCAGGAACGCGCGCGATGCTGCTTGTCCAAACGAGTGGCCAAATGTTGAACTACAAGCGGATGGGACAGTTTGCAGTGCGTTGTGTGCTGCGTAAACACGGTCTCGGTGCGTCATTCACAGCCGCTGACATTGAGCGCATCTTCAAAGCGGGCAGGGTTTCGGCTGGCGTGCGGTGACCTTTGTCGGACCACTTGTCGAGTGCGCTTTGCCTTCCTGTGTGTTCACTAACAAGAGGCAATAGAAAAGTTACGATGTGCGTTCCCGTATGTGTTGATCGGCGCGTTCCAAAAATGGCGGTGACATCGAGGCCTTCGAGCTAGCTCGTTTGCTTCTTCACGTTATGTGGCATGCTCTGACTATTCGTTCTTAGAAAATGTTTACTGTAACTTTTTACAAAATATGACAAACTGTACAAGTGTTTCTAATGTTTTCAAAAAAGAAACTTTAGAATCAAACAACTTATCCTAACAGATGAAATTGAAATAGTATTCACTAGTTTCTCTCTCCTTTTCGGACCGGCAGTGTCATGTTTTAGTTTTACTTTCAGGAGATGGTTTTAGGAAATTTCGAACGAGATTTGAGCAGTCGTCATAGTGAAATTGTTAATGCGCTGTTTGGATTGGATATCGATCAGCGCTCGGGGAGGATTCAGCAACGCTCGCAAACTGAAGCTCCTTTTATGCGCCGCCGGCCGCCCTGTTCGCCGAGGCGTTGCTACACAGGCTGCGCCGTCGCCCACTCGTGACCGCCACAGCCGCACAGCGCTTACGCCGCGGCTGGTGTGCGCGCACATGGCGGTATGTGCGGACGTGGCTCGCGAAGCCTCCGCCCCCTTTCGCCTGCGCGCTCCGTCCTCCGGCCCTTCGGCCGACCTGCCTTACTCTCTCTCTCTGTCCTTCCTCTGTGCCTCCTCCTTCTCTCTCTGGTCCTTCCTCTGTGCGCTCCTCCTTTCCTCTTCTGTCCTTTCCTCTGCGCCCCCTCTTTCCTCTCGGGTCTTCCGCGTCCTTCAACTGCCCGTTGTCGCCCCGACACCACCGCACGACCGGCATTCATTTCCGCTTGCAACCTCAGAACCACATCCATCACTTGGGACAGGGTTTCATGTTTTTTCGTTAAATATAATCCCCAAAGATTCCATAAATAGCAGCAACCATACGTCTTCAAGCCTCACGATTTTCTGCGTGTTCGTAATATTCTGAACCTTTCATTTGTCAGCCACTTTTCACTTTGAATAATCCATGAGGAGTTAAATAACTACTCAACTGTGTGCGAAAGAATGCCACTCTTACACACATGGCGACCATCGTAGCTGCATCGAAAAAGGGACGTTCTATAGCACACAGATGAAGCGTAAAATATAGATTGACTTGAATAGATAGATTTGATTGCTATGAAAAACGCAATTTCTCAAAACCTTGCGTCCTCGAAGTTATACAACTCGGTTTCCCTTGTTTCGCAACTTTTGTCCAACTATAACTTAACTTTCTGATTTCGCACGTTTTGAAACATTGTTAAAATCTGTCGTGCGGAAAATTATCGATGTTTCCTCTAGTAAAAGTCTGGATATGACATCCGTTGCCAATCGTTTGCCAAAGGTATTGTGTGAGCTGATTCCGCTTGCCTCCCGATATAATCAAACTTAATCGTCTCACGGCTAATGTGACTCGGAGAATAAACTGATGTTGCTTCAGTGCATCTAACCAGGAGGTCCTTGGGTTCGAGTCCCTACTGTGTCAGGATTTTCGACACTAAATGCGCTACGTCGGGTTCAGCCGCTGTCTTGGAGAATTCCAGCGGCCGGCTGCTCTGATGATAGTTTCTGGCATTTCCGACAAGTACTACACTACTACATATGTCGGGAGCTGAGAACTTGTCCCGATTGGGGGCGGTGTCCCGCTGGAAGGAGATACCTGAATGAGGAAATCCCCACAAGACGACGCGTACGATCTCGGCATCAAGCTGAGGAAGATTCCCATCCACCTCCTGCAATAAAAAATGCACTATGAACCCTTTGTCTGTTGACACGCTCGTAAACACTAATTAAACAACCGGGAGAGATGGTTTCTCCGATCAACACCAGGCGATTGCCAGAGCAGTTCATGTTGAACCGTTCATACAAGTTATACGGTTTGGAGAGCGTCTTTTCCAAACACATCAGTAACATGATGCAAAAACGGCCAATGTCTGTATTGAAAGTTTTATAGAATGGATGGTTCTGTTTTTTGTCAGAACATTGCATCTAACAGTCACAACCTATGTATATTTCACTATTTATGCTTTATGCTAAATCCTTACTTTAATTTGGTCAATACAGTTGTATTAAATTTGAATGGTTTATATATTTTTATGGCATTTACCTTTCTTGCGTCTAGCACAGACACGAGTCTCTAAATTTTCAGTTAAAAATAAACAAATGAGGGATTATATATAGTTGCGGAAATGATGTTTATTACGTATAGATATGGATCTGCTTTGAACATTTGCCCTCCCGCCCTCTGGCGCCCGCCTGTGGTGACAAGCATTCCCCGCGCGGCAGAGGGGCTCTCGCCTCCCCGTGGGGATGAAAGGAGCGCGTGTGCGTCCGCCGCGCGGCGCCGGGGTCGTTAGGCGGCGCGAATGCGGCATAGAGCGGAGCGCCGTGGCGGGGCGCGTGGAGCGGCAACGCCCTGTGGTGGCGGACGGGCGCCGCCATTCAGCCACGCCCCCGCCCCCGCCCCCGCGCTCTGCTGCGGAAAGGGCCACCGCTCGCCTGCGCCGGAACGCGCATACATAGAGTTGATAATTCCTTCGGGACAGCTATCCGCCGTTGTATTAAGCAGTTGTGTTGTGATGGAGCGGGGTGTGCTGGGGAACCATCAGTCTACCGGAAACCAAAATGATCTACTGAAATCTCCGTATGACCTCCACCTGCTACTCACACATACTGTTTGGGCGGGAAGAGGGATGGAGAGGCAAAGATGAATCGGCAGCGTAGTTGTTTTCCTATATCTTTATTTAGGTTAAGACTTAGTTTCATCGTTTTGGAGTTGCATTATTAAAACCTTTCTTAACCCTCCGTGATAGTTTTATCGTTCAACACTTCTCAGACGTTTGCAGAAAAATTCGAAACGCTTCGTGGAAACGTAGGAACATTATTTCTGTATCTATAAATAAAGGTAAGTTAATACAATCGGAGCAAAATAACTATTGAAGTTATACTTAAAAAAAGTGCATTGTGTCCCCGCCAAAAAGACCGCAAGTACAGAATATGTACAGAAATGTACAGTATATAGAATAGTGTGACGTCATGGATACTCACAGCGACCAAAGACACAGAGCTTTCGTATAACAATATATTTATTAACAAAGAAAACAAAACAAATATATACCCTTAATATCTTACTTACACCCTAGCTCTGATAGACCTATTATCCCCTGATCGCGGGAGCGATCCAAACCCGATTGAAGATGGTTTTGATTGTGGCATTCGCCACTCCTACTTTTGAAGCGCGCACAAAGCCTAGCTTCCGTGACCGGATGTCACGCTGGGACACAAAGTCCGTCCTAGCGCACCAACGGCTGGTTTGCCTCGATCGCAGGAGCGATCTTATCCGATTGACAATCGGCGTGAATCGTGGCACTCAACCACTCTTCACCTCGGAGCACGCACACAGCATCGCTCCCCCGTGACCGCAGTCACCCAAGGACATAAAGTCCGCAGGCTTCGTCAACTAGTGACTCCAGCCTCGCGATCCTGGCTCGCATATGCACCGTCGTGGCGCCAAGTTTTGTGCACACGCACGAGGTTCTCCCGCTGTCTCCAGAACCCACCCACTGGCTCTGTACACTCTGTTATATAGGCGAGGCTCACGTGACCTACTACGTCACGCCACCCCCTCGCTTGTTATACAGTGAAAAGCTTCTATAAGCCGGAAACTCCCAAAGCCTTGTCTCCCGTTTCCGCGTTCTCCCCTTTACGGAAAAACCCTACTTCCTGTGGCTAGGCTAATCCTTTCCCAAGCGTCCCCAAATAGATGCCATGAGGCACGCTGGCTAATACGTTACAATAGCCTTTGCTACTACTCAAAAACTTAAAATAATTTAGCAAAAAATTGCCGAAAATCATTTTAAAATTTAAAATAATTTGAATACATTAAGCATTAGTTTTTGAATGAATTCAATGTTCCTCCACTTGTTTCCAATTTGCGTGTCCCGCGTTTTCGTGAGGGTGGCATTGGCATGCGACTGTCGAATGGCGGCGCCGCTTCAGGTGGCACTGGAGGCAGCTCGCCGCGCCATCACGCGTATCTCTATCCGCCTCTTCCTCAAATTCTACAACTCTTCTCCTTTCTTACGGAACAGTTGAGCTTGTAAGGAGGGGGAAAAATAACAAGACTTGGCCACATTCTGGATAACTGTGAAAACTCGGGGAAATTATTGTTGGCCTCTCAGCCAACGACGCGGCGTCACTAGGGCTGCCAAGAAGTCATGAACTCCAGCCAAAGAAACTTACGTGTACATGAAAGCAAATTTGTCCGCGGAATATGTTTAAAATATATTCCAGGAATCCCCGAAAGTTCAGGCAATTTTTTTGACCACCTTGCAATAAATATCGTTCTCACAGCTAAAAAGAAACTTGTGTCGGATCCAAATTTCAATAAAATTAGACTTATGACTGTTCGACATTCACAAGTGCTGTTGTGTGCAAAAAAAGTTTTAAAAATAAATACATGTTTCTAGCACATTCAGTTTTCTCGATGTAACATGACATCTTTGTAACAAAGATATTAACTAAAACAGAAACAAATGTCTAAACATGCTAATAATTTCTTAAATTAGATATCCTTCGAGAATGTCGTATAACCAATTTTACATGACAAACGAAACAATTGAAATATTTCTAAATTTTTGAACAGAGCTGTCCCTTAAACGAATTGTGCAGGAAGAAAGATTTACAGGAAAGGGAAAATAGAAAAAACTCCACTGTTGAAATATACCGTTTCTGCCGACCTAATTTCCCAGCATTGGTTCCTTTGTAATTTGACATCGACGGTATTAAATTTGTATTAAGGCATTTAGGCGATATCATCCCATTCTCACGTGCATTTATGATCCTCCGGGCTTGGGAAAGATATTCTGTAATTGTGGATTTAGAATCTCGTTAAAAATGAGCAAATCCTTTTTGTATTCTCGAATGCTTTAAATCATTAATATTGGAAAGTCTAATATCATAAAAATAGTATTTAGCATTATTTGTTAAAATCCCTTGATATTCGTTTAGTCCTTTTGCATGCCGCAATGGCATTAAGACTACTTTCAAAATCTAACCATAACGAACATCCAGCAACTGAAATCTAAACATGTTCTACACTCAAAACATTCAGTTGTTTGAGAACCAGAATAATTGAAACCACAGCATCCCGTTTTGGGCGTCAGCCTACGTCTGTGGATTGAGACTTAAGTGCCCGAACCACCGATTATCGTTGAGCGTCCGTGTCTGGTGGTTTTTATGGTCTTTTTTCGCCCCTAATTGCAGCTCTTTCTCCGAATACGTATTTGGGAAAGGATAATACGTTATGTAATACGCGCTAATGACTGTCGCATTCAAGTTTAACATTCCATTCTTCTCTTGTTCGCAGGCGTCCATGGACCTCCCTCCAGACAAGGCGAAGCTGCTGAAGCAATACGACGACGAAAAGAAATGGGACATCATCTGCGATCAGGTAAGGACTGCCCACTCGGACCTTAGCACCAGCGCCTCGCGCAGTCCAATGTCGATTTCCACTTTTTTCGGAATTCAATAAACCTACGAAAAGAAGTGACGTATTAGCCCTTTCCTCGGTTTATTTACCTAAAGTGCTATGGAATGTTAAAATATATTTTTGTTTTAAAGAAGTAATTTTATTATTGTATGAGTTTACACTACATCTGTGCAAAATATATAATTCGGTGCAATCTGGGAAACACAGTCCAACATTCGCCACGAGCAAGCAGGTATTGAGATAATATAGATAGCCCTCATAATGGCTCTCTTAGAGCGCACTAACTATGCCTAATCTGTTGTAAATTCGTATTTTCTTGAAATACAAATCAGAGTACGTTGGTTGTGATGAACGTCCGACTGAGCACGTTGAATTTTCTTCGAAAGATATACTTATTAGAGGAGCAAATGCTTTTAAGAAGATCGATCATTGTAAATTAACCCATAAGTTCCGCGTCTCTTGAAAATTTCTGTTCATTGCGAACTTAATTGCCAATTAAACCCTGTGATTCGAGATAATTCATTAACGATCAATTTATTTAACATTTCTAATTATTTTGTTAAGAAGAAGCGTATCTTTCCTCTCAATTATATTTTGTATTTTTCCCCGTTTAAAATCAAATAAAACGTGGACCCCACATATGCTGCTGCGTGTTCTTGCTAACCGGTTTTATGTAATACGCAAAATTTTAATAATCGCTTTAAATAAATAGAATGAAGTCTTCTGGGTTATCGTTTGTTCATTTCGTCGTGCGTGTTGCAACGGTTCACCGAAAGCAATTCGAGTTCATGTTGCACGGCGTGGCGTGCGGGTGAAGGGTTATGGTTAACCACAAGAAGACAGTTCTTTAAGGTCAAAGATTAATGAGCGCTATTGAATGCGAAGATGAGTGCGTGAATATAAAGGCGAAATCCGGGAGTCGTCTGACAGGTCTTCAAAAATTAAGCGGTAATCATAATTATGTAATGCATTGTTTATAACTTTAAAGATGGTATGAAGAATTGAGTCGGTGTTTCTAATTTAGTCCAAGGTATACGTACAGATGTTCGTAAATATAAAACAATTTCAATTGCATTTTCAGAAATATGCTTGTGTTGGCAGTGAATAGTAGAAATTGTAATCTACTAGAATATGTAAATTATATTATCCTTAATTAGAAATTCGAAATTACATTATTCTCCTCTACTGCAACTTTATTACTTTAGTTGAGAATAATAAGTTCTGAAGGGCATGAAAGAAAATTGGGGTGGTGATTTTTCCCTATAGTGCATATGTAGTGCTTTTCTGTTGCAACTATTGTACAGTTCTTTCTTTTGTTCAATGTAATCGCGAGGGTTCAGCTGAAGTTCTTGTCTCGCAAAGGCGCAAGCAAGCGGTGTTGCAAGAGTTACACATGCAAATGCAGTAATGGTTGCAATAATCCTGACGCGACAGTGTACAATGTTGTAATGAAATTGATGTTGCTTTCCTTCTAATCTTACGTCGTTTTAATACTTTTTTGTCACACTGCTGTGGTAGGGTCTACAGTACGTCAATTGATCTTAATTCTGGACCAATTGAGAAGAAAAGTAATAACATTCACGTAACGGGTAGAATTGTAAAAATAATGCGGCCTTTATTTCATTTATCCAAGACAAACGTTGTTAGACACAAACCTATTTAGAACAATGGGTTTTTATTAGGTGAACACTTCTTCAATCTGATTGTCAGCAAATGCACGAATTTACGAATAGCCGCCAAACCATCCTTGTGCATATGTAAAGCCACACCGCAAAAGTTAGTATCGAGTTTGAACCTTACCACTGAATTTTCAGGGCAATCTTAAAGTTGCGCGCCGCCGGTTGAAAAGACAGAGGAGATTCTAAAATACTGCAATTGATTTAAATTTCATAAATGATTCTCAATTAGGGAATCTTCTTATCTATAACAATAATGTATTCTTCCATTTACCGAGAGAAATCGTAAAGAAGATATCTAGTTTCTGGTGTAATGTGAATGTGTACAGTCAATGACTTTGTAAACATAATTATATTCACACACACACACACACACACACACACAGCAGATTTGCCTACTTCATGTGAAAAGTAAAATTGCCACTCGCAGAACATATAACGACAGATAAATGTTAATTCTATTACTTTAACAATTTTATTAAAATTTAGTGTTTGTACTAAATAACCGATTAAAAACGGTAAGCTAGAACACATCTCGGGCGCATTACCTTTCATTTCAAGCAAACATTTCGAAATTCGGTTTAGTACAAAGCTCAAATTGCTTTGAAATCTGAAACCCTTCTTGTTTTAAATGTATAGAATATGTCAAACAAATGCGGTGGTTGGCATTGAAGTGACCATCAAACAAAGGAACATTTTCAGGTGGCCTTGGGATGAGAATTACATAACGGATTACTTTGTGAATCGACACCGCTGAACAAGCGAGCGTGAAAGAGAATCGCGCCCGGAGAAAATATTCCGAAGCGAAAGTTCCTTCGAGTGGCGCCCCAGAGCGAGACGCGCGCGTTTTTTAAATCGGGTTTTAAACGACGCGTTTTTTAAACCGGGTTTTAAGCGGGGCCGGCTGCGTCCGGCCGAGGACCTGTTTCCTCGCCGGAACCTAATGGAGGTTAGATAATTCCCTGTTGTTTTTTCTTAGAAGACTTGTGCGACGCGGTTTCCGACGGGAAGGCGCCGCCGCCTCAAGTCAACGCCAGCAGAACATTTGCACGATGTAATTATAGTGACTTGTCGGATCAATGTATTATCCGCTCACGTTTTCGTGAGCCACTCCCACTATTTTATTAGTATTACTTCAATTCGGAATAAATCATAACTATTTATGGTTAAAAGAATAAAAGGGATTCCAGAGCTCAAAACGTGCGCTGAACGTATTTCTACCCCACATTACATTTTTTTATTTATTATTTTTTTCTGTTTGACAAAATTGGCAACATAATTCAAATCATCAGCTGGACGCAACCGCTAAAATATTATTTTTTGGTATTGAAGCTTTCGATTGGATAACACAAGTCTCTGTATTGAAATCAGACAATATCGTCGCCGTCGCCTCTTCTTTTGGTGTCAATATCCAAGGGCGAATTCAGAAAGACTTAGATTTGCTTCATTCCCATTTTTTATTTTGTAAATACCATTTTGGACTGACCATGAAATTCGAAGAATGTGTCCCTTTTGGATGTGATGTTTGTGATCAATGTGCGGGGATAGTTTTGAATAAATTGAGTAAAATTACGAAAATGTTAGCCGTGGTCCTTCCTTTTCTACTTGGATTTGCAATTGCTTCATAACAATCAATCGACGCTCATATTCGTCGAGAAAGAAAATTTTGTAGTCACCACCACCATTCCTCTTCACCCGTCACCACATTCCCTTCTCGTAATATTAATTTTTTTTAAACAAAATGAAAATGTATGTGAGAATGGTATAATCCGTAAAGATAAATTCGAGGAGGAAAGTTCACGAATTTGTGTAAGGACGTTTGAAGAAATAATATTCAAAGAAATGCATTGAGCACAAATCACTTATGTTAGTGTAAATTTGAACCAGTGCAACACACCAATATGATCGTTCACCGGCCCTGCACCTGCACCTTCGTCACATCCGATCCCCTGCCCCCACCACCCAACCTCTTCTCACCCGCAGCGCCGCATTGCGCAACGCGTCCGTCGCTCGTCCCAACGGCGCCGAGCTGCTCCTCCCGCGGGTGAAGGCGGCGCGCGCGTTCCCACGTCCCTAACGACAGGCCC